ATGACAGGCAATTAATAAACATACATATAAAGGAAAAGGACAAATAGATTTTTCCTAATAGATTATGTATCAAAACCTAAGCGACATTATTGTTTAACCTATGTTGATTTTACTGGCAAAATCTTTACTTGAGAAGTTACTGACATCAGAGTTTGCTAGGTTTTAAATGACAGCTCTGAAGAGGGGGTTTAGCAAACATTGTTGTCTTTCCTTGCCCCACATTCACGCCCCATCCTGGTCCCAGAACTTGGAAGTTCCTTTGAGGAACCTACTACCTTCTCTGTGAGCATGCAGTCTCAAGAGAATTGTTAATCAAGTGCCAGGGTTCCTGGCAGAGGCCAATGATTCAAACGCAGCGATGCAGATTCCCTTTGTGAATGTGGGAGCGCTAGCATTAAACACACCATTGGTCCAGACTGAGCTCTGTGGCAGCGCACTTCACAGGCTGTCTCCACTTCCTGCTTTCTAGGCTCCCTGCAACAGCTCTGGCTCCTCCTGCCTTTCCTGAGAACTGTTTTGTCTGATTACCCTCTGATTCTATGAGCTAACCCATATCCTTTCAGCAAAATGCCTTTTTAAAGTGCCCAGAACTAGTTTGTTACTTGCAACTTGAGAACGGTAATTAACAGACTCTCCAACATAGATGTGGCTACTACACAATACAGATTGCTAGTATAAATAGGTGTTGTTTCACAGATGGTCACTGGATCCAAAAGTTTCCCGTTTAGGTTGTTAGGACGCTTAATGATGAGCTACATAACTTAAAATTCATGATTTGCCAATTTCCTTCTCAGAGATAGCCACCTCCATTTCTTTATGCATTGCACATATTAATGTAAATCCTATTGTTCCCCCTCATTTATTTGTCTTTATGTATACAGATTTTCCTTTTTAAAATTTTTTTTTATTTAAAATCTTTTTTATTTTTAAATTTTCTCAATGTGAATCATGCTCTAAAAGCACATGAAACCTTTTTATAAAGATGTGACTTCTAAATAAGTGAAAGCTTTGGTATAATAAATGATCCCTCATAACACAAATAATTACTTTACACTAGATGACCTACAGGTCACCACTTTGCAACACAGAGACTGTCATATTTGATGAACACCACTTTGCCAGGTTTCACTATTTCATTCAAATACCAATTAATTTATGAAGGAATTCTTCATTACAATTACATATTAGTAAGTATATACAATATTTTTCCCTCATTAAATAAAAACTAATGTTATTATTATACTAGTAAAGGTTAATTTGAATATCATTAATTATTAGAACAGAAGTACGATTTACATATATATAGATGTACTGAATGTGAATTTTAACTGTACAACCTAAGGTCAATGAAAGCAAAATGCCTTTTTTGAATTTCTTCAGTGGCTTAAAGGTTATTTTCTTTTGTATTTAAATGCAGATAAAGCATAATACATCTCCTGAATGGGATTTGAATTTGCTCTCCACTGAAGCATTTCCCTATAGACTCTCTCCAGAGGAGCGTGCTATTCGTCTTACTTATTAAAACAGAAGGAGACAGAATAAATTACACTTCCACTTCCTTTCTGCTTTCTTAACAATGCATTGCATTTTTGCCATCTATTTATTCTCCTCCTCACTATCTTGAATGACTGCATCAACTTCTTCACACTTTCAGTCTAATATATCGCAATGCCCATGAGGATGTATCTTTCAATATTCCTAAAAGCTTAAAACTACCTTATAAAAATTACACTTGAACCTGAATTTCATTTATGGTCTCAAATTAAAACTTTCTCTGTTTGTCACACTTTCTTGACCTTCTACTTCTGCACATTTACATTGAACATCCATTTTTCTTCATCCTACCCTTACATTTCCCAGTCTAACTCCGTTAATTAGTCCATAATTCCTCTTTCTCTTTTATTTGTTTCCATCTTGAGCTAGTCTGTAAATTTAGCTATTTTATTGTTTTAGGTTTCTTCTCCAATTCTTTCATCTTTGACATTAGTTTACTACAGGTGAAACCGTAGTCTGTGCTGGTCATTATATTAGACATTCTGCTGAGTGTTCTCAATGCAAAAACACTTAATTACTGAAAAAAGAGAATTTTAGACAAAGGCAAACAAAAATTAAAGAACATAATATATCTGTGAAATTCTACATAATTTTTTATAGACCTATATTAAAGAATGATTAAAGATGAAGGTTGGATTTTGGGAACTCAAAATCCAGATCACAAGGGTTTTCTTTTTTTCTGAGATTGTTAAATAAAGAGAATGACATAATCCCATTTGGGTTACAAGAGCCACTCTGCAGGGAAAAATTTGAAAGGAAAAAGCTCAGAAACAGTTTGACCATTTAGGGGCTCTTTTGCTAATGTTGGCAAAAGACAATCAAAGTTTAAAAAAAAATAGGAGATTTCAAAGAAAAGTTTAATTGATAAAAATTTAAGTAATAGAATGGAAAAAATGGTTAATAAATTAAAGGTCATAGCATTGAGAAAAAAGAAGGAATTAAAATTGACTCTAATGTTTCCAATTCGACTATCTGAATAAGTAGTAATTCTAATCAGAGAAGTAAAAAATACTCATATATAATTTTTAATCATATTTTTAAATAACCTTTGACCTGTTGAGTTTGGCCCATCTACACAGATACACCAAACAAATGGAGGAGTTCAGAAATCTGATGGAATAGATAGCCTCTGAGATGGCTTTCAACCTCTGCCTACTGATAGTCATGCCTCTTGTGATCCTCTATCCTTGAGTGTAGGCTGGACCTAGAGCATCACTTCTAAAAAATAAAAGCCTGCCAAGTGGTGGAATATTAATTTCCTATGGCTGCCATACAAATCACCACAAACTGTATGGTTTAAAACAACAGAAATTTATTCTCTCACAGTTCCAGAGGCCAGACGTTTGAAATCAAAGTGTCAGGAAGGCTGAGTTTCTTCTGAAGACTATGAGGGAGATTCTGTTCCTTGCCTTTTCCAGCTTCCGGTGTCTCCAGTTGATCCTGACTAATGGCTGCATCACACCAGTCCTTGGCTCTGCCTTCACAGGGTCTGCTTCTCAGGATGGGTTTCATAAGGACACATGACACTGGATTTAGGGCTCATCTGGTTAATCCATGATGAATATAATCAAGACCTTTAATTACATCTGTAAAGGCTTTTTTTTCTAATAATGTCACATTCACAAGTACCACAGGTTTAATCTGAACATAGAGTTTTGGAGGCCATCATTCAACCCACTACAAGTGGCATGACACTTCCTAGCTTTGGTTACAAAGGAATGTGGTTTCCACCATGGGTGTTCACTGTTGCTCTCTTAGGTTCCTTGTCCTGGGAGAAGCCTGCTTCCATATCATAAGGCAGTCCTATAGAGAGAGGTTCTCCATGGTTGAGTCTGGAAGTGGGCCCTCAGCTCAGCTGGGCTTTGAAATAAACTGTAGCTCCAGCTGACAGCTTGACTGCAACATCATGAGAGACCTAGAGACCAGCTAAGCTGTGCCCATGTTCATAGCCTACAGAAACTGTGAGATAATAATACATAAGCACTGTTTTCAAACTGCTAAATTTTAGAGTGATTTATCACACAGCCATAGAAAACTAATATGGAGCTCACAAAAATGTCTAGGGTAGGTCAACAATAATTAAGACAATTCATGAAAATGATTCAATTTTGCATTTAAGAAATATTTATGGAGTATATTACATAAAACAAACCTTGTGGTGAGTTTTATTTAGATATAAATATATAACACTAATGATAAATGATGACTCAGCCTTCAAGAATCTTATAGTCTCACAGAATGATAGACAAGACAATAATGTGTCATATGACAAAGAAATGAAAATTGTGTTAAGGTACGTAGCACATAAGGGAAGTATCTGGTCCAGATTTCAAAAGTCAGGAAGAATTTCCTGGAGAAGTTGAATTCTTAACTTACATAAATTTACCTACTTATAGCTATGTATTAACAAAATCCCCTTTCCTTTGAACAATGCAATATTTAAGGTACCTCTCAGTGGTAAGGACAATTTTCTTATCCATTGCATTAAGACTCCTATAATAAATTTATCTAAGCTCTTAGGGCAAGAACATATATTCACTTCTGTCACTAATGGAAAGGGGCTAAAACGAAATTATTTATATAGGGTGGTTATAAATCAAATCAGGTCTTTACATCGTATTTCATGTTTTGTTTGGCATAACTGTTTTTATTCTTATTATACTTTGATTTTAAGGAAACTCAAATCATTTTTAGTAGTAAATAAATGGATCCTCAATTATGTAAGAAATTACAATGGAATTTTTTTAAAAAAAGGTAATGAGTGCTCTAGCAAAGGTATGAGCAAAATACAGTGAGAGGAATGCAGAAAAATCCTCAGTGTTCAAAACCAAACCTATTATTTTACAAAAACAACAATCCACCTGTTGCTGTACTTCCCCCATTTCTGTTAGTGCCATCAACATGCCCCTCTTGCCAAAGATAAAAGACCTTCTCTTTAATCTCCCACCACTTCTACCATTGGCAAACCTCATCTATTCCCACTCTTTTTTATTTACACTAGTCTCACCCTAGATAAAGTTCTCATTGCTTCTTGCTTAAATTATTGCAAAGTTTAAAAACATTGCTTCATAGGTAACGTTGTATTAACAGGTACAATAGAAACTATGAAACACGAATTAATATTCTCAAATAGAACAAAGCTGATTTGTTATAAACATAATAAGCAAATTCAACAGAGAATACATATAGTATTATCCCATCTTTGTGTAAAGGACAATACCAACAAAACAAAAATCAAATGATATACACATAGATCAAAATGGCAGAAGTTATTTTTAGAAAACAGGCTTATTCGTAATTCAATTTCATTTTGTTTTCATGTATTTGACCATTTTGTATAATAAAACTATCTTTTTAAATGGTTGGTACAAAATAAAAACATTTTTTGTAGTTTCAAATCTTTTTTCAAAATGGTTTAAAGTATATAAACAATCACTTATTCTTACCTCAAATATAGTTGAAAGAATACAGACACTTGACTTTGGGTAGTTTCAATCATACAGCTGCCATCCAAGTTCTCTTTCAATCACTTTGTCTCTTATGGATATCAGATGGAATCACATATAACTGAAAATAAAATTAAAATTGGACTTAACAGAATAATCAATTATTACATTTATGTACATTTTAGTTTAGAGGTTACAATACATATTCTAAAATTCTAATTATATTTCTTGTGAAAGTTCAAGAAAGTTACCTAATAATAGGAAAACAGCTGTAAAGCATATAAGTTTTTTGAAACGGTAGTAGTAGCAGGTTGCAAATTAAGGGTGAATAACAAGATTGCTAGATAATAAGTTAAATGTCTTAACTCATGGATTCGTTACTATTAAAATAGTGATGGCTGGTTGACAATATATATATCCTTTTCTCTCCCAGTCTGTACAACAACTAGCCCCAGATCACTCCTTCACATATTAGCCAAGCCCACACCCTGCCCAAGAGTATGAAGGTGAAATAGAATTTTAGAAAGCACCAATCTATTTTAACTTTCATTCCACTGTGACTGCTGGAGAAACATTTAGGTGGCTCATCCTTCATTCATTCTCATGCTATAACTAGAACAGACATAGCAGTTGGCTTAGATTTTTACATTTTTATCCCAGCAGACAAGGGGATTTTTCCTTCCAGGTGCAACAGCACAAATTATGCCTTCCCTTAATTTGCTATTTTCAAATGTACTTCTGACCTAAATTCAAATTGTAGCAGAAAAAAGTACAGTATAGTATCTCTTCTTGCCAAAAAAGCAAAAAGAGCTTTTTTTATTTTCTTGGCAAAAATATGCAAACATATCTAATTCTTTTGTTCTGCCTTGCTCCATAACTTTGATATAGGCCATTGGTAAAGCTAGGCCTATATTTTTTACTTTCTCAAATTACAGATTAAAGACAGATCTCAAATATTTTATTTCTGCCTCTTTGTTTGCATCTATGCCATTTGAAAACTACCTTTTTACATCTCAGCCACAATTTTCTTTAGAAGCTCGCTTATCTATCTGTTGACCCTATACTTGTTTATTTTCTAACATAACTTTAGAGAGAAAGAAAGAAGGGACCTTAGTTTAAGCGGCCCCAGGGGCAAACTCTGAGGTAATAATTTAAGAATTTTGTTTGGGAGATGCTGAAGGAGGGGGGTTACAGGCCGATTACCAATAACATCTACCACATAAGGCAATAATTTTAACATCTGAATTAAAATATGAGCTGAGTATATTTTAATTTTAACAAAAAAAGTGTTTATACCTGCGATGCTATTATTTATTAAATCATATGGTCTTCTCTTAGCATTTACTGTATCTTAGGGTATATAAATACTATAATTCATTTTATCTTTCCTCAAAATGTAAAGGCTGAATTATCACATTCTTTCAGCTCTAGAAATAGATTTGTTCATCCTGAACAGGACATTTTAAGCAAGACACAGCTAAAAGGTAACCGAAAAACTATGTCATAATTTCCAAAGCAATTTATCAGTTCATTTTTTCTTTGTCTTGCAGAGAAGAAAAAAGGAAAGACAGAGTTAGATCTTTTTTCAGCATAATGCTAATTTTCCTATTTACCTCATGTAAATATTCGTCTTAGAAAAAGAAATAAGGAAATCACCCAAGATAACAAAAGTAACTTTGTTAATCAGACTGTTAAAAAAAAATTCCAAAATATTATAGCAAAGTAAATATTTCCTTAAAATAGTGAACTGATTTCAACTTAATACCCCTACAGCTTTTATTTCTATCTCATATTGACTGAAATCCAGTCTTACTGTGGGGAATACTTTTCAACTTAGAATATTTTATGCAGAGGGCCGGCTGAGTGGCACGATGGTTAAGAACTGGCTTGGGACGCCAGAGGGCCCCAGTTCGGATCCCACATATGAGGGCCAGTGACACTGCCCTCCACAGCTAAGATGCTGAACAAGAGCTCAACCTGGGGCTGGGCTGCTGGGAGTCACCAGCTACGGTGTAGGCTGTAGCCCCTGTGACAGTGGGTTGCCATGGGCTACCGTATGTAGCCAGCAGCCACTGTGAGCGGCCATCCAGAAGCTGGTGACTGATCTGCCTCGCTCGGGAAGAGCGCAATGATGGTGCCAACTTGGGACAGTGAAGCAACGTCCTCCACAACTAGACTGAAGAACAAAACGACAGCAACTTGTCTGTTCCCCTTCCCCCAATTCTCCAGCACTGTTCCCATCCCCCAATTCCACAATAAAAAAATCTAAAAAAAAAAAAAAAAGAATGTTTACAGGAGATTGTTTTAAAAGAAATTCTAGTGGTAAGGCCTTACAAAAAAGGTTCCTGAATGCCATGCTATGAAATAGGCTTTACTCTAAAGGTAAGATAAACAGGGGAGTGGTGCAATAAAATACATATTTTAGGAAGATCGGGCAGCAAATGTAGCTCTGAGGACACCAGACATAGGCTAAAGTACTTCTTAGAAATTTGTGTATATTTGTTCCACATTAACGCAAAATAGAAAAAGACTCAGTGCATTCATAATTGTGAGACATAAAACTAGCACGGTGCTTAAGATTTAATCTATGCAGAAATAGAGCAAGACCAAGACCACCCTGATCCTGGGCTTTGCCATTCACAGAGATGCCAATCTGGACCAAGAATTCACATCACCTGTTACTGTTCCGTATGTACTCTAAGTTCGCTACCCTCAGCTCTCAGTGTAGCAAAAAAAGATACAGGACGAGACATGACAAACTATTTCAGAATTAATAACAATTTTAAATTTACCAAATTCAACCTAGTTCTTGCCTCCACATTTGACATAAAACTTTTAGCAGTGCTGTGAAGCTGTCACCAGCAGGAAATCTCCCTAATTAGAAGAAGTAGGAGAACAATTATCAAGTCATTCATTCTTTCTGCTGAAATTGGTAGAAAACACAAGTCACTTCTGTGAAACTTTTCATGATTACATTTTTCAGTCTAAATAGGTTAAGGTAGAATCTTTGTTCTCTTTCAACATTAACTCTTCACAAATTCTGACCTCTCAAATATTTTACGGAAAATACAGCTTAAACACCAAGATGAAACCCAAGTAGTGACAACTGGTCATAGGTTAAAAATTTACTTGAGTTAATGAATAATGTAAGGTAAAGTAAATTTCATAGCAGCGTAGAGAAACTTTTTTAATTCACTTGGAATTCGACAAAAAAAAATAAATCTGACTAGGAAAAGTTTGTTTTTACCTAATTTTCTCTTAAGGTCAGTTACATATAAGTTACCTACAAAATAATATAAGTTGCTAGTTCTTATATTAAGAACTTAGCTACGAATTGATACAAAGGGAGCTAACTGTGTCAAAGAATTTTATCTAACTAATGGTTTAATGGTTATATGTGTCTAATATATTTAATAGATTTGTTTTAATTTTTTAACTAATCATCTTGTTCAGTTTTTCTAAAACAATGCAATATGGATTTGAGCACCATGTTCCTTAGAAACAGATTTTTATCCAGATAGTCTCCACGTTTTAAGCACCTTCCTTTCACGCTTCCTTCCTTTCTTCCTTTTTCTCTTCCTTCCTCCTTCCTTCCTTACTTTCCACTCTTCTTTCCTTCCTTCATCTCAAAAGACAAAAATTATGAGTCATTATTCTTTTTTTTTTTCTTTTTTAAAGATTTGATTGGGGAATTGGGGAAGGGGACCAGCCAAATTGTTGTTCAATCTTATTTGTGGAGGGCGCCAGTCACCATGTGGCTTCTTGTCGGCAGCTCGTGGCCTCTAAGCTCAAGGTGCTGTGTTCAATCTTAGTTGCGGGTAGGAATAGCCACCATCTCATGAGGGAGTCAAACCAGCAGCCTTGTTGTTAAGAGCGCATGCTCTATCCACTGAACCATCCGGGCAGCAGCTCAGCTCAAGGTGCCAAGTTCAGTCTTAGTCACGGGTGGGCATAGCCCACCATCAAACAGGCAATCTTGTTGTTGAGCATCTGAGCCATCCTGCCACATGTTGGAAGCTTAGCAACAGCTCAGCTCAGGCACAGTGTCACTGGCCCATGTGGGAATCGAACCAGCGGCCCTGTGTGCTCACACTTTTAACCAACTGAGCCACTCGGCCGGCTCATGAGTCACTATTCTTTACTGCAGTGTATTAAAACATACTCAGGCGATTAAAGAAAATATTTATATAACACCTATGCTACTAATAAAAGCTATCTTTAATATTTGAAAGGCTTTATATTACTATCAAAAGTTGTAAAACGATGAAAATATATTTCAGTGTTTGTGGAAATAGAGCACCTAGTCAATAAAGGTTCTTATTAAGCATTTTTGTAAATAGCTACACAATAAAGGCTGCTCAAATGAAGAAAATCAAAAAACTGTGGTTGACTGCTTAATAAAAAATTGGGCTAGAAAGCACTCATTAACTTGGATTACATAAAAATTCATTAGTTTAATTTCTCTAGTCCTGTGAAATTTAATTTTATTCATGTTAATAATATCCAAGAAGTACATAATGTATTTAAAAGCTAATTTCAGTGAGCTGTAATTCAGTGTACCAATTTCCCACAGTTAAGGTGGGGGTGGGGAGGGGAGTTTCACTATATTTTTTTCTATATTCTAAATTACTTGTAATATCACCATAATTGAATATAATTAAATTACATTATACAAACACTGTTCAATAAAATCCAGAATACCTCCTGTATCAATATAATTAAGCACAAAATAAGTGTATATATATATATATACACACACACACACACACACACACACACACACATATATATATGCATCTATTATTAACCAAATAATTAATATTTTACAAATGAGGCAATAAAGATGCTATCATCCCAAGTTTTTTATATGATCATTGGTTATGTTTCAAGGCCTTTCTTCAGCAATCAAATGTTTTCAGTATTAAGATTTTGCAATTATCCTTTGTTACTCTACTACCAAATATTAGTATATTGTTTTAAACTGCTGTTCCTTTGCTCATAACAGTATACATTTAACTCTTCATTTAATTAATTTAGTATATACATACATCGCACTTTCCTGCCGCCACCACAGCCTCCCCCCTTTCCCCCCCACCCCCCCCACACACAGAAAAAAAAAAT